CGCTTTATATTGGGAGCGTAATCACCTGAGATTATCTTCTGGGGGCTTCCCGGCGCTGCGTCATCGGCTTACCTTTTGTTGGGGGTGGGGGTGGGGGTCCGGGGGGGGGGGGGAGAGGGGGAGCGGTCCGGCCAGCGGCAGCTGAGCACTCCGCCTTTACCGCGCACTGCCAATGTGATCCCCGGCATCAGTTCAGGGAGCGAGCTTGTCATCGCCCATCGCCACCGCCCACAAGCCTGAACAGCTGGCCTCCTGGTATCTGCGTCCGCTTCTGGAGAAACCCGGCGGTGCTTGGGCAGCCTATTTAAGGCATGACTAGCGCATGATATATGCTGTAAAGAGATGCATTGAGCTAGAAAGTGAGATAAAATGGAGCACGTATAAAGGGGATGACAAATCTGAAAGCCCCCAAGCTAAACAGAACCAGACATCTGTTCAACCTCTGTTAAAGTTGTGAAGTCATCAGACGGCGAAGTGGTCTGAATGCGTCAGTTGTTTAACCTTGCCGGCAGCAAATGTTTGTACTGATTATATACTGATGAGTCTCCGAATGCAGATACGCATGTGGCTGGCAACACAGCGATGCTCTCCGTCAGAATGCCATTGGACTTAAGCGAACAGTCGGCGCACTGGTGCGGTCTGGCATGTTTCACAGGTCATGCATCGGCTGCGGCCGGTTTGGTGTCCACCGCACCTGGCGTGTGACGATTTATCAGTGACTCTGGCGCCGGCGGGACCGGGCACACACGCACCGAACGGACAGCACCGCAGTTAGCACGCCCGTGTGGCAGACGTCCGCTTGGTAACCCGCTGTTCTGTCTGTCGGAATGATAACTTAGTCATGTCTGGGTCTGTTCGTCCACGCAAGCCCTCTGTCTCTCTGTGCCCAGGTCCGTCTGGTGTGGCCCTGCGTCTGCCAGTTGGTCCGTCTGGTCTGGCCCTCCGTCTGCCAGTTGGTCCGTCTGGTCTGGCCCTGCGTCTGCCAGTTGGTCCGTCTGGTCTGGCCCTCCGTCTGCCAGTTGGTCCGTCTTGTCTGGCCCTGCGTCTGCCAGTTGGTCCGTCTGGTCTGGCCCTCCGTCTGCCAGTTAGTCCGTCTGGTCTGGCCCTGCGTCTGCCAGTTGGTCCGTCTGGTCTGGCCCTCCGTCTGCCAGTTGGTCCGTCTGGTCTGGCCCTCCGTCTGCCAGTTGGTCCGTCTGGTCTGGCCCTCCGTCTGCCAGTTGGTCCGTCTGGTCTGGCCCTCCGTCTGCCAGTTGGTCCGTCTGGTCTGCCCCTCCGTCTGCCAGTTAGTCCGTCTGGTCTGGCCCTCCGTCTGCCAGTTGGTCCGTCAGCACATCAGACCGTCAGCTGACGCGCTCACTGATAGACCGCTCTCCCTGCTGGTATCCCACCCTGTGTCCGTTCGCTGAGCCTTCCGTCCGTCCGTTCTTCTGTCCATCCGCCCGTCCGTCCGTCCGCCCGTCCGCCTTCCGCTTGGTAGTTCACTGCATCCACCCGTCTACCCCCCATCCGTCCGTCCGTCCGCCTGTCCGTTCGTTCGTCCGCCCGCCCGCCCGCCCGCCCGTCCGTCCCTTTGTCCGTCCGCCCGTCCGTCCGTCCGTCCGTACGTCCGTCCGTCCGTCCGCCTTCCGCCCGGTAGTTCACTGCATCCACCCGTCTACCCGTCCGTCGACCACCCCTCCGTCAATCCGTCCGCCCGTCTGTCCGTCTGGCCACCCGTCCGTCGGTCGGCGCGCACGCGCCGGAAGCGGCCCGGGCAGACGGACGCCTCCCACGCGACAGGTGCTTCCGGCGTCAGCTGGTGCGGCGGCGCGTGCCTCCAATCTGAGCCGGGCCGGGCCGGCCGCCACTTCCGTCGGATGCACGCCGCGCTCCGCAGAGGCGCGGCCCGTGACCCCGACCTGACCCTCGGCGGCCAGAGGAACTGGGGGTGGGTGGGGGTCAGTGGGCCACTGTCGACAGGCGGGGCAGTAATTCTGATCCGCACATCTAGCACGCCGTTGGTTTTTTGAGAGCGTTGATTGTTGCGGGAGGGAGCCGTTCACGACGCCCACGGCGCCTCAGAGCTGCGCCTGCAAGATGTTTGGTGCTTCAGTCGCACGGCCGCAGACGAGTGTTGGGTTTCTATTGTGATGAGTGATGCATTAGTTCTGTGCAGTGTTTCCTCGCAAACAAGACCCAACTGCATCGCTTAGAAGTTTCGTGGCGCTTCGCACACTTGATTGGAACTGGCTGATATCGTCACTAGCACTCGTCACTTTCGTGCGTCAGATTCGTGCTCGTCAGATTCAGCATTGTCTGGGCTCGTTACTTTCACCACACAGATGGAACCCTAACATGCTGGAATGAAAGTGTCCAGCCACATCATGGACACCTGATTTTTGATTACATATCGTCGGATAGCGGGTGTCGCCGACATCTGGCACATGAAAGAAAGGCGATAATCTGTCTTTAAATCTGGCAACGCCAGTCACTTTCTTAGATGCCGCGGGTCTGCTACAAAAAAAGAATTATGTTTCAGTTCCCCGAACGAGCCCAAATGGTGATCATGTTAGCATGCACCTGGACACATCGAATAACATGGAGATAATCCGGCAGGCGATGTAATTTTTCAGATAATATCGGGTCGCACAATGCAGAGTTCATCAGCCAGTCTGAGCACCGCATCTCTATGTCCAGGTGCCGGCGAGCAGCCGCCGCGCCAGCAGTCCGGACGAGTGGTCGTGACCGTGACCCCCTGGGTGACCTTGAATCGCCCCCTAGCCGGCTGACAATAAGACAGGTGCAGACCAGGATGCGCGGAGGGAGGGGAGGGGAGAGGGGATTACGGAGCACTGGACACCGTCGTGTTCGGTTTAGGCGAATGAGTGTGTGCGCCAATAGACGACATAAGCCCATACACGGATTGGATTAGACAGGGGTAAGGGACGACTATGGGTGAGAAGCCTGGCTGTTCACAAAGTGTGGACAAATAGAAGAAGTGTGACTGTCTGAAGGTCAGACACATACATGGAAGGCTAAACCTCGCCCTGATTCACCGTTTTTCATAACCGAAGTGATGGGAGAGGGTCAATGCTTCCCCCCCCCCCGGCCGTTCCCAAACTAATAAGGATGGGGCCTTCCGGAAAATCGCTGGCTGGTATCAGTTAAATCTGGTGATTGGAAATAAGCCTGATATTGCTAGGTCAATAATTGGATCCACTATGCCATGTCGAAGGCAATTTTTTCTGATAATCGAACTATTTTAGGTTGAAATGTCAATATTCACGAGACCTTGCCTTGTGTCAGCATGAAGCTTACACAGACGTGTTTATTGCGCAATTCTGAACACAATGAAATTTAGTTTTGTGTATTTTGAGCATGTGTTTATGCTGCAGAGTTGCGTTACAATAACAATGGCGTCCTCATCACGCGCGACCGGCGGGTTCGTCGGTCGCTGCCCGTCGGCCGTAATTCTCCGTGCAGTGTTCCCGAAAAGCAATCCCTTCTCGGGAAGCAGCGATGCTTTAAGTGTGTTTTGGTGTTAAAGCACGTCCAAGAAAGGATCAGAGGCTCCTGAAAATTTTGTTCCGACTTCACGTACAGGAGAAATGTCCTTAGACAACATTCAGGGGGCTGTATCGACCCCCCCCCATCTCAAGGCGAGCGAGTCAAGGCTAGTAAAGGTTCTATGGTGAACCGAATAAATAATGCAACATTTAGAGGCCTCATTTCGCAAACATTGAAACGGCTTTTCTGATACCACTTGTTGCCACCATCAACGAGTGGTTTTTCCAGTTGGTGTTACATAAAATGTGGCACACACCTAAGCCTTCTCCCGATAATCAATGCGTGAAGTTCTGATTATCATCTTTGTTGCCGACATACCTAAATCAAACTATTGCTGGCATATAGGCACAACAAGCATTGTTTACACCGCTAGAGAAGATGACGCTCTACTTTATGCCTTCTTGAGTCAGGCCAGTCAGAAGTCACCATTTGACCTTCTCACCAGAGTGCTGCAGCATTGTTATAGACGGAAGAGCGGGGAATGCGCCCATACGTGTCATGACACCGCCAGCTTCCAAGCATGCTCAGCATTCTTGGAAACACTGAATGGCGATGCATGGAAAGAATTGACTCCAAAATTGATTGAAGTGACACCCCACTACCTGAGACCTTCCTTCACCAATGAGCGTCTCTACACCCGTGCACACGTGGTCCAAAGTTACCTCGCTGTGGAAGACATCTCAGATTACAGGTTTGGGATAAAAAAGACAAAGAGTCAAATGCTGAGATCTTAAGTAGCTACTTAGATGCTAGATGGATGTTTTCCCATAGTTACTAAGGCACGAACCTTCCAGTGTTAGGGAGTACTAGTGCGAATTCAAGCTCAAGACCAAGACATGGGTCTTACACTGTAAAGCTCTCTCCTTCTTGCGGCAAAACGGGACGGTGTTTGGTACGTCTTAGTTGTGAGGCGGTGACAGGTGCTAGTCACCCTCGCAGGCAAGATGAGCTCGCCCGCGGAGCACCGAGACGACCGGACAGTACAGTAACAGCTGGATCGAAGCGAGAACCTGGTCTGTGGCCATAGCGCCTCGTCTAAAAAGGATATAACAGTGCTTTCATGCACTCAGCCTCAAAGGCCGATAATGGCTTGCGCGATTGCGTCCGTAAAAAAATTGGCCGAGACCAAATGTCCCAATGCGGCGCCTGCACGGCAGTCTGGCAATGGTCGCTGGTCGGCAGCAAACGACGCTTACCTAAACGCTCTGCACTCCGTCACGACCACATTCAGCTCTGGGTCGGCAGCCTGCAGCCGGTCAAAGGCAGGCCGGTCCGCTGCTCTAATGGCATTGCCGGGTAATTTTCACCGGTAGTCCGGCGTCGCTTCTGCACGATGGGACGCCCTCGAAGCCGGGCTGCGCTCCGCGGCCAGCCATTGGTCCGCGCCGGTGTGACGTCACAGGCCCGCGTACGCGGCACATAATCGCTTCCTGGCGAAGCAGTGGGCAGGCGGTGACCGGTGCGGGTGGTGCATGGGATAGGTGGCTGTCGGAAACCGAGCGTACGGGGTGTCACGTGACGGCCCGTGCGAGGTCACGGGGCGCGAGGAGTTCGACGGTGCTGATTGGTGCCCGTATATCTTCCAGGTGAGTTCTGGTGTTTTGGTTTGCGACTTCCCGGAAGGTGAGAAACGTGAACCCTCTTGGTCCGAGCATGTTCCCAACAATTGTATTGCCCGTGATGATCGGAGGCGTATCTTGGTAAGCAATCATTCATGACACATTGCCATCAAATAACTCTGAGGAAACCAAGCGACCAAGTGTCATCAATTCACTTGAAAGGAACCATGAGGTCAAGAAACATACCCCGTCCAGCGACCCGGCGACACCCACTGGCCAGGGGCCGTACCGGTCGGTTGACAACGTCAGCTGAGCAGCCCGCCGCCCAGCAGCGCCGAGGCCAGGGCCGGTCAGAGACCCGCCGCTTAACAATGGAGACTTCAACTGGGCCAACGGAAGCGACAGCCGGTAACCGCCACAGGGAGCGAGGCACGAACACCGACGGCCGACCGCTTCCGGTGAAACGGCGCCCCTCACCGCTAGAACACTGGCGAATGATTGAGGACATAGTTGGCAGTAGCCATGTTTGGAAAAAGTCCGAAGATTTAGTACATGGGCTCAAACGTTCAAGCTTTCAGGAGCGTCGTTGCTTTGATGGTTGTCCCGCAGTTTGATCACTACCACTCACGGCGGTCCCGAGCTGCACTAGCTCTGCCTTTTGATAGGTTATCGACCATATTTTCTCGACTTCGCGCGTTTTTAAATGGGCGTTTATCAGCACCGTCGATAAAGACACAAACCACGAATCAAGGGTGCTCTTGGATCGACGGTGGCAGCCGCCATAACTCACGGAATCGATCTTCAGCGTGTTCAAGGTGGTTTCGCTCATGAAGTGTGAACATCAAATGGCTATCCCGTATATCACTGCGCACACAATGCTGGCAGGCCACACTGCAAGCTGCGTGATTCTAATTCCAGCCGCCTTCGTTGAGCATACAAGCGATGCTGGCATTGTCTAAAAGATAACATTGTTAGCGCCAGACAATGCCTGGCGGAGAAGATCCCGGTGATGTAATCTCCAAGGTCAGACGCATTGACAGCCCGCTTCACGGTGAATGGACTCGTGCTGAAACCGCCTGCATCAAACTTGAATGCCTGCCTTATCAGCATTGTTCATGTGCGCTCTCTATTCAAATTTACGACTCGAAATGCGCGTCTTGTTTCTGTATCGGTCCCTATTGCTTTCTTCTCGTATATCCTCTAATTGTGTTGCATGCCCCCTATCAAACGAACAAAAGTTGCTCACTGGGCTGGCGTTTGCTCCCCGCAAGGTACCCCGTCCAGAAATGTACGCGTAATGGCCGAGTGGTTAGCACCTTCGGCTCCCACATTGGGGCCCAGGGTCGAATCCCGGTAGATCCATGGCTCCTGAGCGCTAATAGGACCTCTGCAGTCGCTGACGCTTCATAAATATTGCTCGACAATGTGCGTCGTATTCCTAAAAAATGAATCGATAGCTCTTTTACGTAGTTCCTTTCATTAATTAGCCCGGCGCCCCTGACGTACATATCAGATTACCACGTTACCTCGATTCTTGATTATACAGCTTATGCCTAACCTCACTGCTGTGGGCTTTACCCTTCCTCACCCCTCTCCCCCACTCTCCCCCTCCTTTCTCCGATACTTCAGTAGGACCTCAGGTCTTGCTCTTGAGTAGCGTTGTTGATCTCTACACGCTCTTACCAACCACCAGCGCTGCGCATGGCCAGGGCTTGAAGCGGAACACCCAGTCCCCTCCCCTCCGACCGGACGTCCCACGGTCGTCGCATGAACGGCCCAGACGCGGCCCACGCCTCCCGCCACCGTGGAAAACAGATCAGCCCTTCCGGCGCCGCTGTCCACGGCCGGCGTTCTCACGGGCCCGGCTCGTCCCGGCCCTGGTCCAGGCGGAGCGGGTGTGGGACGCCAGCCGGAGCGGGTGTGGGGCGCCAGCCGGAGCGGGTGTGGGGCGCCAGCCGGAGCGGGTGTGGGGCGTCAGCCGGAGCGAGTGTGGGGCGCCAGCCGGAGCGGGTGTGGGGCGTCAGCTGGAGCGGGTGTGGGGCGCCAGCCGGAGCGGGTGTGGGGCGTCAGCCGGAGCGGGTGTTGGGCGCCAGACGGAGCGGGTGGGGGCGCCAGCCGGAGCGGGTGTGGGACGCCAGCCGGAGCGGGTGTTGGACGCCAGCAGGAGCGGGTGTTGAGCGCCAGACGGAGCGGGTGTTGGGCGCCAGTGGAGCACCTCGCCGGTTATGGCGTCATCGCAGGCGGCGCGCACCTGGAAGTGGGACGGCGAGATGGCGGAGGCACGATTGCCAGTGGCTGAGCCAGAGTTTCTCTTCCTGTTCGTGGCTGCTGCTGTAACAGCAGTGTCACGAATAACAGACCGTGGGAGCGTGAGGCGAGGTTGACTTGTACGAGTTCTAGGAATGTGCATAAAAAGGCTCCAACCAGTGGACAACCGGTCAAACATGTCAGTCGCACCGCTTGAATTTACGGTCGATGTGTTCGTTCTCTTCCACAGGGTCATGCTGAAGCACGTGCAGATCAACCCGCCGCGGTCCTCGCTGATACGGTCTGGCCAGAAGGCGGACACTCTGAGCATCAACTCCACCATGAGCTTCAGCTCACTGCACGAGCCGGCTCTGTCGTCTCGCTCCTCCTCCTACACATCGCTGAACGAGACACAGAGCAGCACGGGCAGTAGCGGCGTGCCGGCCACGCCCACGGTAAGACGGAGGTTTGAACCAAGCCTCTGACCACGCCCAGACCCGGTGACGTATTCAACTTGAGGACTGGCACCTGTTGCAGATAGGCTCCTACTGCCTTATCGAATATCAACGCGCATCAACATGCTTGTGAAGAAATGTCTACAATTCAAAGGGAATGTTTGAAGATATTCAGGCAAGCATCAGTTATTATGGGAAAACTCATAACTAATGAGGTGGTTTTGAATGTAAAAGAGTGTTTTAGACACCAAATTTTCACCCTGATAAATATTCTACTAAATACGGCATCGTTTGATTGTGTCATGGAACGTTTTCTTATGACGTCAGAGTCGCTGCCAAGCTGAACGCATCAGAATTGCCAGCGCGGTGTACGGCTAATTAACCTGTAGTACCTTAACTCGCTGTAAGGTATCCCATTCATTTATGCGTGCGAACCAAACCTACGGTCGTTGTGTGAGCTCGTTTTGGCACTTTCTCGTGGTGTTCGTGTCTTTTGTCCGTGATGGAATGAAGTTACGGCGCTATTCTTAAGCTAGTCTCTTCCCAGCCTCATTTATGCCAAACTAATAGGCCTTTCCAAATGCCTGTATTATTTACCACAAACGCGGTTCGTGTTCAAAACTAGTACTTAACGCGCCTAGCTGGTTGAAAGCCAACTGCTGTCCGTTGATGTGATGGCCGTGTATACGTGCTCCAGACACGAATAACTCGACGGTCACATTCCTCTTATGGCCATTGAGTTCATCTTGACGTTGAACGCAGTATGGGAGGCGCAATTCGTTTGACGTTCCTTTGACGTCATGCCTGCCTAGTTGACTTCAAATTAGGCGACACGAAATGGTCTGCAGCACTTAACGTGCTCCTAGCTCAGAAGCAACAGAACTTGTAGTCTGAAAAGAGGCATAGCTATGATTGATCTGAAGAGAATAATACTGAAAGGGGCTATCTAAGCTCAAAACCACTTAAAAAAAAAACACAAGGGTCTCTTCAAGAGTTCCATGTAAAAAAGAAGCGGACAAATACAAAAATAGCGATGTTGTATGCCCTATTATAAATTTCACGCCTAACGAAATCCTGCCTACGCCCCTATCCAGACGTGGATCAGGCCAGGCCGCAGCCGACACAGAGTTTCACCAAAGACGATTGTCGCTTCCCTCTATCAGCGGATGTCATCGCACTTTTCCGCCGGCCTTACGGGTCAGTGTCTGTGCATTCTCCGAGTGCAAGGCCGGCCTTATGGATCAGTGTTCGTGCATTCTCCGAGTGCAAGGCCGGCCTTACGGGTCAGTGTCCGTGCATTCTCCGAGTGCGAGGCCCGGCCTTATGGGTCAGTGTCCGTGCATACTCCGAGTGCAAGAGCACAGTGCGAGTATATCCCTTGCTAAGGGCCATTCGATCACAGACACAGCGAGCCACCGCCCAGCGGGCCGCTCAGCGGGACGCCGCTCAGCGGGCCGAACGTGCGACTATTTTAATCGCGTCACATTGCAGCGGATGTTGTTGAATGGACCGGTTCACGATAAGAGGCTGCTCTCTGGTCATCATTAACAATGGGGCTGACTGGGCACCTTTCACGTTGCTGTTGACGGCATGGGACCTTATCAGCAGATGCCCGACCTTGATTTGACCGTGGTTATGAACATTTGAACTCTCTTATCTTTGAGTACTCATTTCTGCGGGTGGTCAAATGTTAGCATGAAAGCTGAGATGTTTGTTGATGCATTCGTTGGAGGAGAAACTGCTTTATTTGTCTACATCATCAGCATGAAAGAGCTGGCTGTAAAACAACGTTGCAGACGTAGCGCCTTATTGGGCTATACTTACGGGCTTAAGCCGTCCGTAAATATCATCTTGAACGCGTTCGGAGTACTCTTCCCCACTCACACGAGCCCTCTCTCCGGCCAAGGTCGTGAGCGTCGCAACCCCTGAGCGTCGGAACAGGTGTGAAACCTCTTTACGAGATGAATATTCACAAGCTATGAGCCTGCGGTTGCCGCTGGTTTCCGGCCGCTGCATGCTTCGGTTTGTCCCAGCCACTAAACGGCATGGCTCGCTGCTGCGGCACCAGCTCGCTGTTTCCTCGAACCCCGGCTGGGAGGGGTCGGAGTCGGGGTCGTGCCGGGCCGCTCTCAGTATGGCCGGCGACCGCTGCTGACCACGCTGGACGGACCGCAGCGGGTCTGGAGCTGGCGGCGGCCGGCTGACGGCAGATGGCCAGCGTCAGCTCCAGGCGCAGCCGGCAGGATCAGCCGCCTCCCCGGGCATGGGATTATATCCAGGCGTAGTTGGCAGGATCAGCCACCTCCGCCGGGCCTGGGATTATCTCCAGGCCAGCGCCAGCTCCATGCGTAGTCGTCAGGATCGGCCGCTTTCTCCGGGCCTGAGATCCTCTCCTGGCCGGCTGGCAGCTGGCAGCAGCTCCAGGCGCAGCTGGCAGGACCAGCCATCCCCCCCTCCCCCCGGGCCTGGGATTTCTCCAGGCCTAGCGCCAGCTCCAGGCGCAGTCGGCAGGATCAGCCGCCTCCCCGGGCCTGGGATTATCTCCAGGCGTAGTCGGCAGGATCAGCCACCTGCCCCGGGCCTGGGATTATCTCCAGACCAGCGCTAGCTCCAGGCGCAGACGGCAGGATCAGCCACCTCCCCTGGGCCTGGGATAATCTCCAGGCCAGCGTCAGGTCTCTCTGCCAGGCACACCGGCGTTGTTTTGGCGGTCTCCCGGCGGTGCGGCCCGCGCCGGCCGGGCGGGTGTACCGGCCGGCGGCGGAGCGGCCCGCTGTTGGCTGGCCAGATGGCCTGCCTCCCAGTGCCACCCTCACGCGACTGGCGCCGTGTGGGACAGGCCTCTGGATGGAAACGACGCCAGTCAGTGTCCAGTTTGCTGGCATGTGTAATGTGGAAACTTTGGACCGTGGAAGACTCGTGCTACCGTGGTGCCATGTTTAATGCAAGACATTAACATGACTTTTTGCGTCGATATTTATCTCAATATACGGTGTGTGATGTCATAGACGAAGTAGGTTTATTTTCCGAGTGGTGGATGATGCACATGCTTTGCAGCACCCGGCGTAAATGGCCAATTGCGAGCGAGTCTCATGCCGTCGACCGACAATTTCAGACGACGGTGAAGGTGTACACGCGCTGTCTGCGGCCTGACCTCGAGTACAAGACCATGTGTGTCAAGTACACAACCACGTGCCGGGACGTGGTGGACCAGCTGCTCAACAAGTACCGCATGAAGCACCGCGACCCTAACCTGTTCTTCCTCACCATGGAGGTGGCCACCAGGAGCACAGGTCAGTCGAGGTCGCCACAAGAGCGTCGGCTCGTCCGGCTCTTTTGCCGGTCTGGCAAACATTACAGCAATGAAATATTCAAATCGTAATCAAAATGCATATCACGCAAATGGTAGCATCATGCATTTTAGTCTCATGCGCAAGGTGCCTTTTTCAAAATGGATGCTAGAATCAAAGCGTAAAAAGGTAGATCGCACTCGAACAATATGTTACGTGGACATGTTAGTTGTCACTTTGCCTCATCGTTAATGTGTGTTCGAGCCTGACGGGAATCGAACAAGCACGCTTTTTTAAGTGTTTAGAAAGCGTTCGTGTTACACATGTCACTGCCACGAACTTGGTAAAAGATTGTGCCAGAAACCCGGATATGACCTTACGTTTGACTCGCGTATGGTGTCGCTTGGCTCATTGAGATGCACCACGGGAGTAGGGCCGGGTCCTACTCGCGTCGGAAATGTTTGCTGAACGGGAGGGGGCACAGACTCCGGGCGTACCCCCGGCTGCCGGGGTGTCACGTGCCGAGGTCACGGAGCGCGACCTCAGGGTCAATGCCGCTTGGCCGGCGGACTGGGGCCTCCTTCCGCCTGCCATGGTCTGGTCTGAAGCTTCAGCACGGGATTACCGGCTACTATAGAAAACGGCGCCCGTTAGTGGATACAAGAAGGCAGCGGTGATAAGAGCCGGGATAACGAGAATGCACAGAGGCGTCGGATTGATGGAATTGGGCGACATGCTGAGCACATTACACTCATAATTGCTGGTTGAGCGATCTGTTACGTCTGCAGACGCCTGTGCACATTTACAGACACGTGTCACAAACGCCACATGCCGTATAAAACATCTTGGGGCGGAAGCTGAAGGATGATAAATAACTGATAAAACTACAAACAGGTTCTTATCCATCTCGAGTATGATCTGGTTAGGTACTGCACGCCCTTCCCCCCCCCCCCCTCAGTGGCCCTGTTGGAGAAGACACTGCCAGACAATATGGGCGTTGTGAGACGATTACGGGTGACACCTTCGTGTGACCCCTGCTGTCGGTGCGTGCAGCTGGCTCATCGTGACCGCGCGCGTTTCCGTCGTTGTGACGCAATATTCGGAGTGATTCAGTGCTGCGTGCTCGCCCTAATCAGCACTACTGGTCTGCTGCCTTCTTCTGCGGTGCTCCGCTGTGAGCTGCGGCGTTGCACGCGCCATGTCATGCTGCTGAAATGATGACGTCTCTTTCGAAGCCGGGAGGGAGAGAGCGACTGCTAGCATCGTGTAAACTCAATTAAGGTCATAGTCGCACCACTAAAGGATGGCGGACAGTCTGTCAGTGCTGGGCTGTGCGGTGCTGGACTACTTCGGCCGTAATCACGTGACCAGGGGTGTGACCTGCCTGCTCCCCGGTAAAATGATTATAGCGCTCCATACAGTTCATACCGCCGACTACCACGGACACCGGGAAATGGAGCATGCCCCAATCACGACAGCGGGGACTGAGCGGCTGCGTTATTGACAGGTGCTTCTGTGCGGACGATCCTGGTGCTGGATGACGACTCGTGTCCAGCCCAGCTGCAGGCCTGCTACCCGCGCGCCGACTCCAGGTGAGTACACCGCACTTCGCGGAATGTGGGCACCGCAGCGCGGCGCGGGGTGAGCGCCGGCAGCCGGCACCCGGTGGCCGCCGTCGCGTCACGTCACGTCACGGCTCCCACGCCGCGTCACGTCCGGCCAGCAAGTGGGCCGTGCCATGCCGTGCGGACGAGGCCGGCGCGCGCGGCCGGCGGCGCTGCGCGTGCTTACAGTGGTCGCCTGCAGTCCGCTGCGGCAGTGCCGGGCCCCTGCCGGCGGCGATACGGCACGTAAGCGAGCGCCGTTATGTGAGGTGGCGAATGAGGAAGTAGTGCATGGGACAGGCGGTGTCCAGCTAACGTTACCGGTGCGGACTGGGCTCTTTGTTGAAGTGATTATAGATATTGGCGTCGGCAGTGCCAGACAATCAGTTCTAGTCGGCGTTATTAGGCGCATTGGCACGACTGATGGTGCCAGGACAGGCTCATGGAAAGAGTGTCTGGCACTGGCATGGCCGTGAACAGATCTGTCAATCGTGACCCTGAGTAATCTGTGCACATGTCTCTATACCCAAACAGCTTTCAAAATAGCGCTGATTACCGGTTGTCTCCCGCTGAGATGACGAGCAGCCGGCCGGCCGTCACCGCTGCTGGTTTGCCTCTGCTGCAGGTTCACCGTTCGCATGAGGCGAGGCGGCCTGGTGAAGGTGTTCGACAGCGTGCTCATGGCAGGGGTGAGTTAGCATGGCGACCGGACCTGCCCACCGGCACGGTCGTGTCGGCAACGGTACAGCCGCACGCTGTTATTACCTGGCGGTTTTAGGAGAAGTACTGCAGCTTGTGGCAAGCGTGCTCGTCTTTTTAACACCGTCGCCGGAGTATGGAGGCTGAACCCGGCCCCAGCGAAGTACGCTGGCAGCACAACCGTTTCATGGCATGTCTTTTATTCTACCAGCTTACGATGATGGTGATTTGGGGTCCCAGAGGTTGTATGCAATAATGGCTCAGCATTCGGGGATCTTGAGATCAAATTTTATCCTGCCGATTTCGATGAAGCCGGCATGAAATATCAGATGGTTGCTTTACCTTGCGCCGATTCAACGGCGATTTTCTGTAGAGAAGCCCCACTCTCGCGGCGGGCCGGGCGGTGTTTCCATGCACGGTGCGCTGATAGTTTTCCGACTTTTGTGGTGCGTCGTCCGGTCTCCGGTCGAGGTCGCGCCAGCCCATAATTTTTCTTCCATTTCCCTATGTAATATGATGAATTGTCTGCAGTCATTCGACGCATGCTATCAGTGTAATTCGGTATTCATATTCTTGACATTTCCTGCAAAAAGTCTAGACACAACATCAGTTTAACTAAAAATGCATTCATTATTGTCACTGAAGCGTCTGCGTCTCGCTATTGCCAATCACAAGATGTGAAATGCTTAGTGGAAGTTCAACTCATAGCGCGCAAATGCGCATCTAGTAGATTTCTAGTATTATGCTAAAATTACCGGACGTCGTTCCACCCGGCTTCTATTATCCTGGGTTTAATTGGCACGTCAACACCTGAGAACCACGCATCGCATGTGCGCCAGTAATTTGTGCCGCCGACGGCCGATCTGATCACACCATTGTTTGTTGTTTGCTTTGCAGTCTAAGTACAAGAGCCTGCTGATCTCGGAGAGGACAACTGTTGACCAGATGATCCAGTTGTTGCTGAACTGTTACAACTCCTCGGAGGGCGTCAATCTCTTCGGCATTTACGAGGTACGTCTGACTTCAACAGCGTTTGATTGGGATTTTAATCATCTGCTGAGTAGTTCTAACACATCAAGGTTATATTTGGAGCAGTCTCTGTGAACCGCTTTGCATTCTACCGATGTTGCGATACACACTGTTCTTGCACTGTCACTCGACAAGCCACTTCTAGTTCACCTTGAAACTGCCCCGCCGACCGCGCCTGACTTCCCGCCTGTATCTCACAGGTGGGCCGTACAACGGGCTTCGAGCGCAAGCTGCACCCAGACGACCGTCCGCTGCTCATACAGCAAGAGTGGGCCTCCAGCAGCGACTACAGCTTCGTGCTGAGGAAGCGGCCGCCGGGCACACCACGCATCGGACGGGACTTCCCCCTCAGGCGATCGGTGAGTGACCCTGAGCTGACCTTGTGGATGGCGATTACCTCATCAGCAAATGGGAAGTGGTCTTGTTTGTACTTCAGCTTCTCGGGGGTGTGCTTGCTGCGCGGCCGTTCGATGAGATCGTAACTCAGGTGACATCGTCTGAGTGGGCGTGATTCTCATTCGGCCTGACATGCTGTCTGCAACGTCACCACCCCCTTGCTGGTCACTGCAGAGTTGTGCAGAGGGGGTACTGTTTGTTTGTGGACGGGAGTCGGTCTCGGCGGCCTACCATTTGTCCTGGCCCGTCAGTAAGCTGGAGCCGGCAGCGGCTGAGACGGACCAAGCTGTTGCAGACGATCCGAGGACGATCCGGCGAAAGGCCGCAGTTGTCCTGACCCAGGTCTCTCTATCAAATGTATTAATAAGCAAAAAGGGAACATCCTCTTTTAGATTCGTACATCTACATTATAGCAGCAACAACCCTTAGTCATGTCGGAGTGTAGACCATTAACTATTGGAAACATCGGAATGTGCGTTGTTAAATATTTTCTGTGAAATCAAACCCAAACCAGCCCAAGTAGGCGCTCTTGTCTTGTCTAGTTCCCGGAAATGTCCTCAAGACCACTTCATAGGGACCTTTTGCCCATGCACATCGCTGACGCGGAGCCAAGTCATGCACGTATGCCTTCACCTCGCTTCTCATGAGATGCACACCATCACTGCGCATGACCTTGCTGTAATGCTGACCGTTTGAACATCTTGCTCAGGCCCTGTGAAGAGCTGAAAACCTTACTCGTAACCCACTGCGCGGATCGACAAGATCAAGCGCGTACGTGTCATGGCGTATAAAAAAACACACACACATGCCTCAGTATGTGAAGAATTCCACCAAAAAAGTACATTTACCGTCCGAGACTGCCAAAAGCTGCAGGGCAAAGGCTTTCACTATTGATCAACGGGGTCCTTTGAAAAAATCAGGCACATTGGAGGGGTGGGCGCCACACCGACCTCTTATGAAGAGAGGTGGGGTGTGATGTTAAGCGCTGCCATACCGCCTGGGGGGGGGGGGGGGCAATTGTTTTGTGCAACTTACGCACTATACGCTGCGGCGGTAGATGACTCGTGAAAACCACGCTGCCATGCCACCAAATCACCAGTGACACATGGAACTGTGTCACTGGTGGCAGGAAACATGCGGTTTCTGACGTTCGGTTCATTCGCAGTTCCTGCAGTGGAGCAGGAGCAGGGGACTTGCTCGGCCCCGCCCTGGAGTCCGGCGGAATGGAGGATGTGCGCTCCTCGGCTTTCCACACCACCTCTCTCTCGTTGGCACCCTGCAAAGACTACGAAAGCTTTCTCTACATCTGAACGGCGAGACTTAACTCGCGGACGTAAATACCAAAGGTACTTTTCATTGTTTTTGTTGGGCATTTTGAACAGGTATGGCACACTCGAAGAAAATGCAGCTGTTCCTTTAAGTAAACACCTTTCGAATATGCATGTACAATGGTAAACATTGTGCACCCTTTAACGGCGCTAGCATTGCAGATTAACGCTTGCTAGATCACACACATTGACATTGTTTTTGTCAGTTTGGTCAGTCACGAAGTCACCCTTTTTCCAGAGTCTGCTTCTGTTCACCGTGCACCCCGGCCAACGCCCGTCACGACTGCTGTCTGGGCGAGGGATTGACCAATGATCACGGCGGGCGCACAGCGGCATATTTTTGTAGGCGGACGAGGAAAACAGTGTTGGCTTTGTCTTTGTTACCTGTAGCCCGTTTGTGATGTTAGCTTCGGGGGTAGGTGAGCAATGGCTCTAGCACTGTCAGATGCTCCTCATGTGGTGGTGTGTCTGAACGATGAAGTTTTTATCGCAGATCATGACTTAATTGAGGCAGTACTGCCATGATTTCGTTTTCAGGTGGTTCCCATACACAGACTTGTTGCCGTGCGTTCAAAAGTTCCGTTTGAGACCTGACCCGTTTTCTGTTTTCTGTGCCTTGTTTGTCATTGTCTTATATCTAGTCAGTGAATGAAGTGTAAGTTATTGACGTGTGTAGGAACAAAAATATACCTGTAAGAACATTTTGCAACCGGTAGTTTTATTAGACTATTATATATAGTATTCAGGCACGTCGTGAAAGAATGATTCATTGTGTCGGGGAAACTTCTGTCACGGATATGTCGATTTCAAACTATTTGGGCCCATGACTTAACAGGGCCGAATTCTCTACTCAGAGCGTGGCCCAGAGCCTTTTTGTGACCTCGAATTATCTATCGCACGCCTTAGGCGTGTTCGCAATTTTGAGGGATCCAGGGATTGTCCGGATGCTCCCAACTGCCGAGGATCTCGAGTCCATGACGCCGCCATTGAAACTGACTATCAACGTGCGATTTTGAGCGGTTGTCAATGACGTCTTCAGGGGTTTTTGCATTGTGCACTTCGCATTTTGCATTTTTCTTGCACTTTGTGTCGCTGATCGAATTCTTAAAGGGAAAATTTTGGCCAGCAGAGAAGCGAGACACCAAACAGTATAAAATGGCAATGGATTCCATGCCTAGTGGGGCAATTAGGTCCTGGCTTCGATGAGCGAATCACCAAAAGCCTTGCATATCGCCGAAGTTTTCAATATCATTCGCACCGGATGCGCTGATGGGATTCCTAATTTTTGGAATTCCAAAGTTTCAAAGCCTTCTTTATAGCTGATACCATTCTTTTGTGTCGTAAATTGGTACGCAACTCAACATATTTGATATGGATGCATATCGCACACCCCGCTCTGTTGCTTTCTTTCCATTAGATGCAAGTGAGGGAGTGCGGTGGCGCCAGTAGTGACTGAGGTTTCTGAGGTTGTTTGTGATAGATATCTGATATAAAATATTTGACATGTTGGGCGACCTGATTTTTAGACGCTTTTAGAGGGACAGCCGGCTCATCCTCTCACTTAGGATCGGATGATGGACAGGAGCTTCTAGGGACTGGCGCTTCTAATGCGCACACAGTTAAAATACTCACAACATGGCATTCGACCAATGTCAGGATAACTGGTACCCAGGGATGTCACCTTCTAAAATCGGCTGGGGGACTCAACCAAGAAGGCTGATCTAACTTATCCCAAAACCCGATTTCTCCCTGGATTATGTCCACTTGAATTGGCGTCCTCGATGATAAAGTTTGACAACAACAAAAATTAACAGACAATATTTCGTAGTTTTAAAGCTACTTTTCTGTGGAGTAATTACATCCCGTACATCCCGTTTCAAGTCAATGTGCACTTTGTTTTTCTGAAAACTTAGATTGGGATGTAACTCACAGAAAAAGCATCTTAGTAAATCTTAGTTAACGGTCACTGATGACCAATGTCGCTAATCTTGTTGTATAGCCACATCAACCACAAGAAAACGTCGGTTCACTTTTCTCTGCGCCGCCCTGTACTTTTAAAAACAGTCATATGTTGCAGTCCATTGTTCTTTACCCTAATCCAGGCGCTAACGTTTGACTACATTGTCCAACATCTGCAGACTGGCTGAACATATCACGAAATTAGCACGACATAAACACTAGATACCTTCGGTGTGCTATTTGGCATGTAATTAACTTGATACTCCTAGTCTGATAATAGCGTTTTTAGACACCTACCATCTAGAATACTACTAGTTTAGATAGTTGTCCTGCATTTATTTAGCTCGGCATTTCCCCTTTGCTCATTAACATTGAGGAGGCTCAGAATGGCATAAGGGGAGGGGTCTTAGGCCCCCCGAAAGCATATGAAGCGATACACCTGCCGCTGGGAATGCATGTGCAACGGCCCTGGGTTAGGAGATAGTCCGATCACGAAAGCAGTCTTCTTCGGCCCTCGGTACTTGCCGGGGATTCACGGTTAAACCCGATCTGCCGCTGAATTTCCTTCGTTTGAGCGCGGAGGAAATGAAGATGGATCTGGACAGCTGCGGCAGCTGAGTATATCGCAGCATTCGAAACAGTGGCAAGCGACACTGGAGTGCGAAGTACAATATGTAGGTCTCCCCGAGGCCAAGTCCCCTTACGAAAACCACGTGAGCGGCCGAGCTTATTCCCAACCATCATCATACTCCCCACCGTATCTTGACGTGCTCCAAGCCTGCTCGGGCCTGTGTGGTCTGGCGACTGTCTTTCGTTGCACCGCATAGTCGTTATGCAGATCTAAACTGGATGGCTGTGCTGCCTGGAACGAAAGGAGGAATGTATTGGGTTCCGGGTTGGGCCCAGATTGAGGTAAAGATGGCTGCACAAATGCTGGGCAAAAGGAAGTGATAGTGTGTTGTAAGAATGCCACATTGAAGTCACGGCAAATGGGTACTAAGGGACTTTTTGAAAATACCAGTTCTTCTGCATCATTGTTTGTGTCCTGTTGTTTAAAAAGGCAGTCTGGACAACCACAAGTCACCTTCTACCTCGATCGGATCATCTCGCCATCTTTCCCTGAAATGTCTACGCCTCTCGTCGCTGAAGACAAGACGCGTCGTGTTGTCCATCGATATCGTGCCGTCATCAATGAATTCAACGAGCCAAAAGATCTGCTTAGGAATTTATGCAACAGCAATATAAATGCCGCTTGCGAAGTCGCAGAGCATTTAGCCACGGGGCGCCATACTTTAGTCACATCGCACGGTTGAAACGTGCCTTGCGATCAAATAAACTGTCACATTTAGATCCTTTTCGGTATTTTCTACTGTCTAGTATGCGACACCAAGAATCGGCTGGTAAAAACAGCGAATTTGCGGCCCGTCTGGACCATTTTTGTCGCCGAGTTGGGATGAAACACACAGCAGATACCGTGATGCTAAAGACTACGGCACAGGGTCTTTACGGGAAGGTCCGCTTGTGTTGCGTGGCGACAAGCCCTACCACGAAGGCCCCATGTTAGCTTGTGCGGTATGAGCTGCAATGTTCGTCACGGCCGTCACCAAATGTTTCGGTCCAAAGTACTGTGCACACCAAGCATCAAGTGAAAATGGACATTTCTTTTCGCTGAAGTTATCCACCACTCGGGGCGTTTTGACAACTATGGACATCTTTTTCTATTCTCATTTGCGCGCCTCTCCCTTCCTTATCTATTCTTAGGTTTCTCCCCCCCCCCCTTTCTCCAGAGTAAACAAGCTGACAAGCCTGTGTGTCATCACAACTAACCGATCGCTTGCACAACTCTCATGAACTTTATTTTGGTGGGCCGTTACCGACGGCCGGTAATCGTCGTTCCCGACGGCCGGGGATCGTCGTTCCCAATGGCCGATTATTGTCACTATCGACGGCCGATAATCGTCGTTCCTGATGGCCGGTGACCGTCGTGACCGACGGTCGATTATTGTCGTTACCGACGGCCGGGGATCGTCGTTCCCGACGGCCGGTGATCGTCGTTCCCGATGGCCGATTATTGTCACTACCGACGGCCGGTAATCGTCGTTCCTGATGGCCGGTGACCGTCGTGACCGACGGTCGATTATAGTCGTTACCGACGGCCGAGGATCGTCGTGACTGACGGTCGGTGATCGTCGTGACCGACGGCGGGTGATCGTCGTTCCCGGCGGTGGTACTATCGGCAGGTAACGCCGTGGTGGGCGTTACCTGCCGTGAAGGGCGTCGTGGTGACACCACGCCGGCGGATCATCCAGCTGCTCCACGCCGTGCCGGGGTGTCGAGCAGCGGTTCGCTCTCCCTTAAATCATCATGTCAAAGTCGGGCGACGCTTAGGTAGGAAGCCTCAGCCATGTCTGGTTACGATTCAACTAAACATGCTATTTTTGTGAGGCTAGCACATA